ATCTTTGTCCAAAAGTTCTTCTTGAACAAAGAGATCAAAGGCTGATTTTATAAAATTGGTAAACATGTTAACATTTACATGCTGTTCTTCAAACGTTTTTTGCATATCTGTCACATTCATATGGCATTTCAAGAAAGTTGTCCAGTTGTCTTCAGTGATATATTCGGTAATTTGTCATATCATTGGCTGATTTGTTTTAGTTAATCTAAAATATGTTTAGTTAATTATTATTATTATTATTATTATTTATTATTTTTTTTTTTTTTTTGTAAATAAACAGTAAGTATTATTTGTAACTTACTTATTTTTCCTGATAAATTCTGGAACAAGTTTTCTAAGTTCTCGTCTTAATGAAAAATTATAATCACGAAAGCATGAAAAAGCCTATTTTTGTAGTGCTGTATGATCTGACGCACTATTTTAAATATTCGGGAATAAAGATTTTAATAGTGCATTAATAACTTGTTTATTGACGACTCTCGTGCAAAAGAAAGACACTTCAAATGCATTTGAAAAGTGCCAAGATCCTATTAAATAAGAAATTAAACATTTAAATTACCAATATTAAAACAGTTGTAGGTATATACTGTAATATCTACCTTTTCAAAAAGTGCATTAAATTTATCTGCTGCCTTTCTCTAAGTAATGAATTCCTGGCCACCACCTGCTTTCATCATATTCAATGCTAATTCAACAAGTTGTGGATGCTGTACTAGATACATGCAAACTTCAAGATCATTTTTAAATGGGCCAATTAAAGATTAGGTATTAATTGCGGTTAATGCTGATAGTTGCTGATCATAATCCTCTTCAAAAGAACTCTTTCTAATTAAGGAAGGTGATGCGATATTGGTCGACTTTGAACGGTTTTTATTTAATAGAAATGGTGATCGTCGATCATAAGCACTTTTGGGTGACGGGCTTCTATCTGAAGAAGATATGTCATTAGATGCCAATGATTGTTGGTCATAAAAACTTTTAGGTAAATTATTTCTGACTGAAGACGAGATATTTAAAGTTTGCTCATTTTGTCTT